ACACTCTGATGATTCTCAAGGGTCTGCTATAGTTATACATGCATTAAAACGGACGCACTGAACAGGATGGACCACTTGAACCCCAAAAGGATCCTGTCACCCAGGATAAACAGCATGCAAAACCCCATGATTGAGTCCTGGCTGCTTCAGGTTTGGAACAGGATGTGGAGATTTTCACCCCTAGCTCAACAGTGCGGGCTCCTCATTTCCAAGGACATTGCAACATCTCCCCACAGAACTGCTCACACATCCATGGCAAAGGGACATACTTGTGCTTGGGCAACGTGCAACTTGTGCTGACCAAATCACTGAGAGGGGCGGCACAGCTCCGACACCACAGGGGAGCTGGGCGAGCTGAGCTGCAAGGAGGACCGCGGCCATATGGGGCCAGCCTGACGCTCACCCCTTTGAACGGTGCTTTGGGAAAGCACAGGGGAGCTGGCAGCGTGGCTAACCCGTCAGAATGATCTTTGCCCTTTCCAGGGAAAATCTGCAGGAAACAATATAGGTGGAGGAGGTAACAAAATGGGCTTCTAGGAAGGGAACATGTAATTCTGTAAATTGGTGATTTGCATACATCAGGTAGGTTAAAAGTGAATTGATCTTTTCTCTTTTGCTTTGCTTTGTTTTTCATTCTCTCCTTGACCTTCACTTTTTGCCCGAGGTCCTCCAGGCCTCTGACCTCACCCTCTCACGTAACGCAAAGCTGTCAGCCCAAACCCAGGGAGTCTGTTTATCTGTCAGCATTTGTGAATCCTTCAGCCTGACTCTTGCAAGCACAAGTGGTCCAACGTGATGGGGGGCTGTTGGTCTGGAAAGCTCTTCAAGTCTTCTGATCCCATGCAGTTTAGGAAGATCCTGGCGCCGGGTACCAGCCACTTTGCTTATGTCAGCCACACACAAGCGTCACGAAGCGCGTGTCAGTGGGCAGAGCAGGACTCTGCAGCCATGAGACTTGGATTTGTTTCTTTGTTTGGCTGGGAAGACTCCAACTGTAGATAACGTGTGCCAAGACCTAACTGGGAAGAAGAGTATTTCTGCTGTGATGCACACGCTAGCACAACCCCGTGGGGCATGGCGCCCCACAGTAAAGGATTAGAGCAGCCTTAAACTGCTCTAATTTGTGCCGAGAACCCAACGGGCTCCAGGACCTAGGCAGACCCAATATCAGAGGCAGCTAGACATCCCGAGCGCTACGTTCATCTGCACCCCACAAACCAGCCACCGCTCCTCCGTGTCCCGGCCCAGCGCGAGGCCATGAGGCTCACTTGTGCGCATGCCTTCCGCAGGCATGGGGGTTTGCTCTGCTCAAACTCGCCGCTTCCCTATCGTTATGGTGAGAAATCAGTCCAACTCGTAAGGCCTCTCTGAGCAAAATGGTCTGGAGAAGGGTCGAGAAATTCTTCCTGTTGACAAGAGGCTGGGGCTTTTTAATTCACTAGAGCTGTTGAGTCAATTCTGTACACGTGTGGCTCAGCGTTTCCTGGGTTTATGGTGAAAATTTGCAGAATATCTGAGGCAGATCACACTCCTCTCACCTCACTTCCAGGGGGTCGCTTTGCAGAGTCAGGATAACAGCACAGACTGTATCATGTTCTGGTTTCCTTTGGCACTAGCATGTGTAGAATTTGCTTCAAATTAAGGACAAAATTACACAAGCACACAATCCAAAAAAGACACCATTTCTGGAACAGCTCCAAGTCTGTTCTGGGTTCCTCCCCAGGGAAGAAAACACATTGTCTGAGGTCTAGCTGAAGTGTATTGAAAAGGGGTGGGGGAGGTGGGTTTAGAGGCAAGCAGTTTGTTCCCCAGAATTTAAAAGGGCAGGAGGAACACAGTTCTGCGAAGCCAATTAAAAAATAATATCAAAAGGCCAGCTGCCAGTTTAGGTGATATCTGTAACAATCAAGCATGAGTCATTTCAGGAGAAGAAATCACTTGAGAACCCAGATGCTCTTCTTGCTCCAGAGCACCATGGGCAGCATCTACAGGAGGGATCTCCTACGCTTGCAGGCAGCTGCAAGCAATGAAGCCCCCTCCAGGGAGATGATTACAGGGCGGCAGCAGGTAGGGAGCAAGAACACTCTAAAATTCTGTTTTCTGATAGCTGGTTTTGGAAAAGCTGGTAACATCTCAGGGGTTCTGGGGTGCTGGGATCTCCTTAGCACTCCGTGAAGGAGGACTGCAGGCTGGCACGCAGTGCAAGATGACCCCCAGGGCCCTGCTGACTCTCATCAGAACGGCAATACAGGAACAGCGCCCAGACACACGTGTTGTTCCTGGCTCAAGAGGCTGATGTGGCTCTTGTCTGATCTCCAAGGTGTTTGAAGAGGTTGTGTGCAGAAGGACCTCTCGATCTCCTCCATGCTCATGTCTCAGGACCAAGGCTGGCTCCCATGTTGCAGAGTCCACAAATGCCGGTCAAAGTCTGCATCTTTGCATCATCTAGCTTCTCCTCCGAATCTGTACCCTTGTATCATTCACAAACCACAGCAGCGGATCTCGTGTCTTGGTGCAATGAGGAAGCTGTGAAACATCTCAGCATTTTGCTGGTTTACAGGCGGGCAAATGCGAAGTCCGTTCATCATCAGCCTTCCCCAAGAATCGTCCACGTTATTGGGAAAGCCTTTTTAGGGGAAATACTATGTTCGGTTCAAAAGCTTCTGCATTCCCCAATAACTAACTATTGCCTTCTGTAGTCCAGAAATCCTAAGAATACACCACTTCAAAAGCCAAGATGTTGTATCTTCAGCCTATGATTTAACGATAAAAATGCCCAAGGAGAATGAACATTCAGATAACTCCTCAAGCACTACAATCAGAAATTACCGTACTGTGTGGAAGGCACTTGAGTCTCCTGGGTTCCTGTTAACATGGAGTTGTCTTTCCTGGCAGATGAAGAGTAGCAGTGCAGACCTTCAAAGCACCAAAAGCTTTGATTAACACTTTGCTGCCTTTCCATACCCACCCATTCAATTCCCGTCTGGTTTTAGCAATCAGTATCTTGGGACGCATCAGAAAAGGAAAGAATTTTACCATCTGCAAGTAAGGAATTAAGGCTTTCAAATGATACGAAATAATTAGGTCTGTTTTGTATGGCACATAAAATCTTAATGGAACCCATCACTGAGTTCCCGTCTGTTCTTTGGCTGTCGTGGCAGCCTGGTTTGAAGGCAGGCTGTTTCTCCGTGAGGCTGGAATTAGTTTGGTTAAAACAGTCTGTCTGATGAGGACACTTGGTAACTACCATGCATAACCTTCATTAGGAAAAATGGAGCCTTACCATCATAGCTGCTCATGGCAGGAGTTCAGGGAACTCTTGCTGTAATCAGAAATTGATCCGATTTGCAAAGTCTTGATCTGGATTCAAGTTCTTCCCAAAAGGAATAGGCTTGCAGTCTGTGCTCTTGGCACCACCACGTTGCTTATGGATAAAGAGATATTGATTCATACACTCCTCCAGGCCTCAAGGGTTCAGCCCTCCCCAGCATGGAAAGACTGGAACTGCTGGGGCTTCCTTGGGGCTACAGCTACACCAGAATAGTGGCTGTGGCTTTCACTCATCACGTGGGACTTCCCCCATGTTGGGGAACCCTGGCAAGATGAACTTACAGCACCACTAGGAAGCCAACGGCAGAGACACCTCCCCTAAAGCGCAGGTCTGTGGTGTGCAACAGCCGCTCGCACTTCATGCCTAGGGGAGATGTGGGGGACCACAGCAGCTGGTTTCTGTCCTACCCGGCTCTTTTCACCTCTGAAGGGGCAAGCCTGGGAGAACTGGAAGATGCTGTTCATCCTATGCCCTTCCCACCACAGCTGATCCCACATTAGGAAGTGAGAGCACAGCAGAATGCATTTCCACACCGTCTTTCCTACTGCTCCTTGCCAAGACAAAGGCGTACTGGGAGAAGGGAGGAGTTGTGCTAAGCGTAGTCCAGCTCGCAACCCTTCCAGGAGGGTGATGGTTCTGTCAGATGCGTCCTTCAAGGCCTGAGGAGCCGAGGTGTCTGGCAAGCATCACGCCATGGCGTGGCAGTGGTATGAGGCTGACATCCACAGATGGAAAAACCTTTGGCTGTGCGTCTCCATGGAGAGGCCATGCAGGGAGAAAACAGTCAGCTCTGGGCTTCTCCAGGCTGGGCACAGTGACGTGGGGTCCCCGGGAGAGCTCAGAAGCTGAGCCCATCTGCTCAGCCAATGCACACCCAGGGCAGCTCACCCTGCAGGAGCCTGGGACAGGCCCCGGTCTGCTTTGGGTGCCCGCATCTCCAGCAACGGCAATCAGACTGCGCTTTTCGCTCACCGTCCCCGTTAGGGCTGGAGGGTGAGCGGTGAGGAGCTGCTGAGCTTGCTGGCTGCGGTACGTTCAAACCAGGGGTGAAAAGGTCTCACATCCCGTTCCACATCCCTTGGGCTATGCAGCCCCACTTTAACCTTTCCAAGAAATTAACTTAGTATGTCTCCCAGGGGGGTTCTGCAGGTTTTAACATTTGAAGGGGAGAAATAAACCACCCTCAGCCTGCCACAAAGTGGCAGAGGGGGGTGAGGAGCTGTGTGCTAAACACGCTCCTGGGCCCATGGGTGCAGACAGGAGAGGTAAGGGGCAGGTCCCAGCAAGGGAAGCCCTCCAGGGTGGCCGTGTGCTGGGGAAAGCCCCCCAGCTCCGAGGAACATGGAGCTTTGACCCAGCTCAGGGAGAGCAACAGGGACCCAACCCTTCCTGAAGCTGCGGAGGAGAAAGGGAAGGAAGGGAAAGGGAACAGCCAGGACAGACATATTCCTAGAGGAAGAGTCAGGAAGAGTGAACAGTGGCACTTGCACAGAAAAGAGCCCTCCCCCCCCAACCCCCCCTTCTCTGCTCTCCCCTTCTGAACCTGCACAGCTCAAACTGCAATTGCCAGGAGAATTCCAGAGCTACCCCTCCGCCAGCGGCCGCACAGAGGTCTCCTGTCCCCCAGCCAAGTCATTTCCATATCGACACAAGAACTACACTCACTTACTTGCAAGACAGCTGATTAATCCCCTCGATGTAGTAGCACACCCCACCATTGACACAATAGGACTTGGCTGTTTCGTTGCATTTTCTAGCATGCCCGGACCAGGAGGAGAGAGTTGTGGTTACTGCAGGAGAAAAAAACACACACACACAGAAAAGATATATTGTTATTCCCTTTGTTGGGCAAGTCTGTTTTCTTAGATGATTTCCAACTAGTTCATTTGCCAGAGTAAATACCCCAGAGCTACAAACCTCAGCCTGTGCCTTCAGACCCACCTTCACCTCTGCAGGTCCCACGGCTGCGGCTTGACCTTTCCTTTCTGAGCAAACACAGCCAAGTGAGTGAGGAGCTGAGGACATGCCTGCTGCTAAGCAGCCAGCATGCCAGGGCAAGATCACCTTTTTGGCAAGCTGTAGGGGAAAGTGCCCCTTTCCCACCTCTCCTTGCCCTCCCCTTCCACGTGCACGCAACCCTGCACCAGCAGGCAGGCGGGAGGGTAGGAAAGACACGGGCTGCGGCGTCACGGAGGCACGGGCGCACGCTGCTGAGGCCTGATTTGCACCATGATACTGGACCAAGATCCAGAAGTCCTGCAGGGGACATTTCATGGCTCCACATCTCTGGGAGGAAATAAGTTTTCAGAGCCAGAAGCAAGTGGGGAACGGGTCCAGTGCAGGCAAGAACGGCTGCACCTCCCCTGTTTCTGAGCACTTCTCTGTCGTGCCCCGAGGGGGCTGCCTCAAGAGACCGAGCAGCGTTGGGCAGTAGAAGCCTGGGTCCAGCCCTGGTCTGTGCTGAGAGGGAGGCAGCCAGCATGACTCAAGTTCCCTGGGATACGGATGCCTTTCCAAATCTAAATTTCTTTCTGGAGAAAAGCTTTCCAGCCACATAAGGTACAAACAAAACTGATGGCACTCTGCAGAATTTCACCGCAAATCCTGTCTCTGAGTGACTCAGAAAAACTTACAGCCCGAAGCAGAGTCTCCAGAGGCAAGGAGAAGGCTTCTAGGAAGGGAAAAGCCTTTCGTTAGAGCAACTAATACAGGTTACAAAAGCAGACCAGCACCAGTAGGGATGCAGGCCCATCCTCACAGAGCTGAAAGAAGAGCTGGGCACAAGAAGCATCTGCTTTTTCCAACTGAGTATTTAATCTCATTAAAGGTAGTCCCCCTTCCTGGACTACCCACCTTGCTTATACCCTAACACGGTTACATCTCCGGCCGTGTGGCTACCACTTCCCAGCACTTTTCGTGCTGTACTCAAGGCTTCTGAGGAGATACCCGCCTCCATCCTGTTCTCCAAAGCAAGAATGAACCTCATGGAGAGGTTAGTGACTTCAGACCGGTCGCTGGAGACTGAATACCTCATTGACACAGGGTTCGAGGAAGAAGGCTGGAGCCAGAGCCCTAGGCGGGAGGTAGTCATAGCCACGGGAGGAGCAGTGAGGCATGCTGGAGCCTGCCCCAGAGGGAGCTGGCGCTGCTCCCCATACCTCGGGCAGCCCCCCTGCCCATCCTGCCTCCACAGCGGGCTCAGAGGCTGCTGCGGGTGCCTGCCCTGCTGCCTCGGCTGCAGCCCACGCCGCCAGAGCCAGGGGCTCCGTTCTCAGGCTCCAGCTCCAGCCCAGCGCCTGCTGGGCACACCCAGGCTCTCCCCAGTGAAGAAGGGCTCCCAGCACCCTCTGAAGCCTCTCGCCTTCGAGCGATGCTTGGCGCCCAAGCAACCAACCAGGCTTGTTCTGGCTCTCCTGCTTTTAGGACTCTGCCTGCAGGGGTTCTGTGCTCTCTGAACGCCAAGTTTGCTCACCAGCCTGGGCACAGCAGGAGTAGCCCACACCATTACCTGCACACAGCTCAAGGCAGAGCCAAGCTCACTCTTCATTTTGCTTGGGCCAACGCACTGCCCAGCCCCGTTGTCTTCTGTCAATGCCTTCCCCTGCCTGACAGAGCCGGGGGTGTGCACCAAGCAGAGCTATTTCTGTGCTTTGCCTGGAATAACCATTGCCTCTGGGGTGGCCTTTTCACGGCTAGCCAGGGCAGAGCGAGTTGTCCCAAAGTGCTCTGCAAAGCAGAAAATGCAGATGGCCCTGGGACAGCAAATAGCTGCTCCCCTCCTAGGGCACATAATGCCGGCCAGCTGGGAGCCAAAATTGCAGAGCAGTGTAGACATCCTAGAGTGTATGCTGGCTTTTAGAGCAGACGAAGATTTGACCAAGCCACCAAAGAAGTCCCTGGAAAAAAACCCTCAAATATGAAAACTCCCCAACTTCTCATTGCTCCCTTTCAGTTAAGATTAGTGGGAACTAGAAGCCAAAACCATCGTAATGGCTTTGTAACAAGTCTGTATAATATGTACCTTTACGCGACAGTAGCACACTTCTCAGGGCAGTGGAAAGCTGCGGGTTCAGGACAGAGGAGCTCTAACTGCGGGTGACAGCACCGGGGCTTTCTTGGCAAGGCCCCTCCTTTAGCTATCGCTTGATCCAGCCACCTAAACCAAGCCTTAACACTAAATACCATTTTAAAAATGAGCATGAAAATAAAACCTCGCTTGGCACCATGCAGCTGTGTCCCAAAAGGGGTCGGAGCCAGGCTGCGCCCCGGCTGCGCTGCGCATGTGCGCGGGAAGCTGTGGGTCGTGCTGGCTGCCGGGGCGGTGGGAGCTGGCTGCTTTG